AATCATCTGCTCTTGGAATACACATTTTTCTAGGGTAAATTAGCTGATAATATATTTCCAAGCTTACCTCAGAGACGACTGTAGAAAAGCATAGAAAAAAAATCTCATTGTCACAAACTAGCATAAGAGCACATTGATGCATTTTTTTTACTAAAATAAACCTTCTGATACCAGCAAATAAAATTGAATACATGTATAGCCTCCCAGTCTAGATTGTTGATTAATGTTGAAAGTTGATAAACGAATGGACTTTCAGGTAGAATTGCTTCCCATGATGATGTACAAGGACCACTTCACCCTGAACGTAAGGAAATTGTGAAGATAAAAAAGCAGATAACCACGATGAGATTTTGAAAACTCACTCTTGGCTTAATTGAGAAAGCCCACCTGGTGTGGTTTGACCTCATCTCCTTACCCCCCAGCACTGGGAAAGTGGAAGGCAAAGGGCCCAGAAGACTGAGATAAGGATAGGGAGAGATGACCAAATCCTTTAAGGCACAGGCAAAAAATGGACTTGTTGGGTGAAGGAAAAAGGAACATAAATTAAATACAGACACTAACAACAACAGACAGAGTAGGACCATAGGAAACATTACCACATCCTTCAAATACCTTCCCCCACCATTCCCTTCTTCCCAGGCTCAGTTTTTCTCCCATATCGCTATGTCCTCCTCCCCATCAGCGCAGGGGTCAGGGAGCGGGGGCTGTGGTCAGTCCTGCCGCTTCTTCCACCTCGGGGGAGGGGAACTCCTGGCATTCCTGCCCTGTTCCAGCGCAGTCCCCCTCTCACAGGAGACAGTCCCCCACAAACCAGCTCCGACATGTCACTCCCAATGGCGTGTGGGTCACCCCCACGTGTGGCAATCCTCCCAGTGCTGAACTGCAACAGTGGGGGCTTCTTCCCACAGGGTCCCGGCCTTCTTCTGGTGCAGTCCCCTGCCCCGGCGTGGGGACCCCACAGCTGCGAATCAGCATCTGCTCCAACATAGGCCCCCACGGGTGGCAGGGGGCGGCCCTGCCATCTCACCAGGGGTACAGGGGAGTCTCTGCTCTGGCGCACCTCCCCCCTTCTCCTCTGTTCTTCCGCTGACCTCGGTGTTCACACACATGTTCTCCTCACAACTCCTCAAACTCCTCCCAGGTTCCCCTTCTTAAATACATTATTCCAGAAGCACAGCTAATTGGCCTGGCCTTGGTGCAAAGACAAGTCCAACTTGGAGCCAGAGGGAGCTTTGAGAAGCTTCTCATAGGGGCCACCTCAGTAGACCCCTCCCCTGCTACCAAAACACCCCACCACTCACTCAAACCAGAACACTATCTCAGAGAATAAAAAAAGCACAGTAATTTAACATCGCTGAGGATGACTATAAGAACTCAGGCAATTACAAGCATTTCAGGTGAACATATATTTTTAAGGCCAGAAAAGACTGTTATTTCCACTCCCTCTGACCTGAAAAGGATGATAAGAGGCAGCAGACATCCACTGAGGGGCTTCTGATTCAAACCGATAACTACTGGCTGACCTAAAGCATATCGTGTGAAAAGCTGCACATCTGATTTAGAAGCTTCTACCTGTAGTTAGCAGCATTTACCCTCACAACAAATATGTTTCCCAGTTATCATCAAAAACCTTTTTTACAGTGTCATATAAGAAGACTGAGAGAAACAGCTGATGTTAATCATAGAATCATAGAACAGTTTGGGTTAGAAGGGATCTTTAAAGGTCATCTAGTCCAACCCCCTTGCAAGGAGCAGAGAAATCTTCAACTAGATTAGGTTGCTGACAGCTCTATCCAACCTGTCCTTGAATGTTTCCAGGGATGACACATCTACAACCTCTATGGTCAGCCTGTTTCAGTGTTTACTACCCTCATTGTAAAAAATTTCTTCCTTATATTGAGTCTGAATATACCTTCTTTTAGTTTAAAACCACTACCCCTTGTCCTATCACTACAGTCCCTACTGAAAAGTCTGTCTCCGTCTTTCTTATAAACCCACTTTAAGAATTGAAAGGCTGCAATAAAGTCTCCTGGAGCTTTCATTTCTCCAAACTAAACAAACTCAACTCTCTCAGCTTTTCCTTATAGGAGAAGTGTTCCAGCCCTCTGATCATTTTTGTGGACCTCTTCTGGACCTGCTCAAGAAGGTCCATGTCTTTCTTACACTGAGGACTCCAGAGCTGGACACAGTACTCCAGGTGGGGTCTATCAAGAGTGGAGTAGAGGGGGGGAATAATCTCCCTCGACCTGTTGGCCACACTTCTTTTGATGCACCCCAGGATGTGGTTGGCTTTCCATGCTGCAAGCACACATTGACAGCTCATGTCCAGTTTTTCATCCACCAGTACCCCCAAGTCCTTCTCTGCAGGTCTATCCTCAATCTCTTCACCCCCCAGCCTGCATTGATACTGGGGGTTGCCTCTACCCACGTGCAGTTACACTTGGCCTTGCTAAACATTATGTAGTTCATATGGACCCTCTATTTGAGCTTGTCCATGTCCCCCTGAATGGCATCCCATCTCTCAAGCGTGCCAACTACACCACTCATCTTGATTTCATCTGCAAATTTGCTGAGGGTGCAATCGATCCCATGCTCTGTGTCACTGATGAAGATATTAAACAGTATTGGTCCCAATACAGACCCCTGAAGGACACCACTCATCAATGATCTCCATACAGACATTGAGCCATTGACCACTAACTGTCTAGATGCAACCATCCTGTCAATTCTTTATCCACCAAACAGCCCATCCGTGAAATCCATATCTCTACAATTTAGAGAGAGGGATGTTACTGGGGTCCATGTCAAAGGCCTTACAGAAGTCCAGACAGATGACATCCATAGTTATTCCCTTGTCTGCTGATGTAGACACTCCATCACAGAAGGCCACTAAGTTGGTCAGGCAAGACTTGCCCTTGGTGAAGTCATGCTGGCTGTCTTTAATCACTTCCATGTGCCTTAACATAGCCTCTAGAAAGATCTGTTCCATGATCTTCCCAGGCAGAGAGGTGAGGCTGAAAGTTTAATAGTTCCCAGGGTCCTCCTTTCTACCCTTTTTGAAAATAGGTGCCATGTTTCCCTTCTTCCAGTCACTGTGGACTTGCCTGACTGCCATGACTTTTCAAATATCACAGACAGTGGCTTGGTAACTACATCAGACAATTCCCTCAGGAGTTGGGATACATCCCATCAGATTCCATATATTTATGTATGTTCACATTCCTCAAGTGGTCTCGAACATGTTCTTCTCTTGCAGTGGGAGGAATTTTGCTTTCCCAGTCCCTGTCTTGAGTTTCATCCATTCAAGAGGTGTAGGAAAAGAAGTTGCTAAAGAGGCAAAAAAGTTGTTGAGTACCTCAGACTTTTCCCCATCTGTTGTTACCAGTTTGCCAGTCATGTTCACTGAGGGCATAGACTTTCTTTGGTCTTCTTTTCCTGGTTGACATACCTATAGAAGCCCCTATTATTATTCTTCACATCATTTGCCAAGTTCAGCTCCAGCTGGGCCTCGGCCTTCCTGACCTCATCCCTATACAACCAGGCAATGTCCCTATACTATTCCTAGGATACCTGTCCCTGCTTCCACTGCCTGTCCATCTCCTTCTTGCTCTTTGGTTTGACCAGCAGATCTTGACTCATCCATGCCTGACTCTTGCAGTCCTTCCCTGATTTCTTACACATGAGGACTGAGAGCTCTTGTGCTCTACGTAAAGCATCCTTAAAGATCTGCCAGCTCTGTTCTGCTCCTTTGACCCTGAGAGCAGTTTCCCAGGGGATCCCATTGGCTAAGTCCTTGAACAGCTGGACGATTACTTTCCTAAGATTCAGGGTCCTGAATTTACTCTTTGCTTTTCCCATATCCTTCAGGACTACAAATTCCACCATTACAACGTCACTGCAGCCCAGGCTGTCTCCAGTCTTGATGCCTCTTATGAGCTCACTTGCATTGGTGACCAGTAGGTTCAGTATGGAATCCCCTCTGGTAGGGCTGTTTATTACCTGGCCTAAGAAGTTATCCTCAGTGCACTCCAGGGGTCTCCTGAGTTTCCTACAGCCCTCCATGCTGCTTTTCCTGCAGATGTCAGGGTGGTTGAAGTCGCCCAGTAGGATGAGAACCTGCAAGCACAATGCCTCCTGCAGCTGGAGGAAGAAGGCTTTGTCAATAGGCTCCCCTTGATTGGGCAGCCTGCAGTAAATGCCTACCACAAAGTTTCCTTTGTTGAATTGGTCTCTAATTCTTACCCATAAACTTTCAACCTGCTCATTGCAATTCTTCAGAGACAGTTCTTCACAATCTATCTATTTCTTGACACAGAGGGCAACCCCCTCACCTCTCCTTCCTCACCTGCTTCTTCTGAACAGCTTGTAGCCATTGACCGCAGCACTGGGATTTATCCCACCATGTCACTAATTGCAGCTTTCAGCTTTCTAGCAGTACAACGACCTCCAGCTCCTCCTGTTTGTTGCCCATGCTGTGTGCATTGGTGTAGAGGCACCTCAGCAGGGCTGTCTGCCGTGTTAGAGGAACAACAGGTTCCTCCTTTTTAGAGGAACACACCTAAATTCCTTTGAAGTATTTCCCCTGTGTTTCCCCTGTTGTATCCTATTATCTCAGGAGTCTCTGGCTTCTCTGTAAGACTTCAAGTGTTTTCCAGTGTACCCAGCACATCAAGCTGAGGGCCTTCACCAGCACCTTGTCTCTCAAACTTTGGTGCATGGCAAGCCCTGGGAGACCCTGTTTTTAACACCTTCCTCCTTCAAGTCTAGTTTAAAGCTCTGGCAGGCAGGCCCACTAGCTCGTGAGCAAAGACCCTGTTCCTCATTTGAGAGAATAAAGAATAGAATCTCATCCAACACAATTTACCTCCATTTTCTGTGAAAGCACATCCTGGGAAATACAGATTAGAGATGGTTTGAAATTAATTATGTCAGTAGGTATAGAAACACAGTTCAAAGTGCAAAGAAGGATGTAGATATTAATTACATAAATCAAACCATACTTCAGGACAGACAACTTCTTTTTCATCTTCCATGGCTTGTTTCGTAGTGTGGCGATTAGTTTCTTTTTTTCTTCTACCTCTTCTTTCAGCTTGGCCAATTCCTCCTCTGTAATTGGCTCCTCCTCAGAGTCAGAATCAGAGCTTTAAACAAAAGCAGAAAGAAAAATTATCACCAAAACTCAGAAAGGAGAGAAGTTTTCACTGAAGCACATACTCAGTCTTAATTCTTGTTAACTCTGAGACCTAGATAAATGCCTTCACTGTTGCACAGAAGGGAGGACACAGTTCGATTGGACTTGTTATTAACTCTAGTATGAAAGGCAAAGCCTGCACATGAAGTACAGAGCTGCAGCTGAATGAGCACTACGCTCAGAGGATCCCATGGAGACTAGGCATCACTCTGGGGGAAGTATCTGACAGATTGTTTCTGTAGGAGTAACCAACCTCCTAAGAGTTCAACTCAGACTCACAATGGATGAGGATCCTACAACTGCAGCCATGCAAATTAACTTGTTCACTCCATTTCAGTGTGCCACAACAGAAAGGAGACACCACAGCCACAGTAAAGACAAATTTAAACACCAGATGACAGCCCATCCAATGATCAAGGCAGTAACATTTCAGAGATAGGAAAGATTCAAAGCCACATTGCAGCAAGGCTGTGATGTGTCCTAGCACTTGGAATAAGCAGATGCAATAGTAATGGCATCTCCAAATGCGTTTGGTTTGTAATCTGAATTTTTTATCCATGCACTGGTTTGTAGTATCTTTAGAAAGCATTGCTGATTAAAGCAATGTCCACTTTCCTAAAACCTGAATAGATAACCTCTTCTGTGAGCAAACTTACATCTCATAGAATGGCATGTTGCAGTTCATTAGCAACAGGTGTTTTCTCTTCTTATGGCAGCAAAGAGGAAAATGATAGAAAGCAAATTATTAGATTGCGACTTCCTGCCCTAAAAAGCTGACAGTGATGACTACCAGTAAATGAGGTCTTAGTAAAAGCAGCTTAATGCATTTCTATTTGTTTCTCACTGTGTTTTCTTTGGCCTTTTATTTTCCTTCTGTTTTGAATGTTTGAAAATGTATGGCAGTGTTTCTTTAAATACTTTTCTCGTTTGTTTTGGGAACAGTACATTCAGACTTTATCAAGCAAGCAGTTTTCAGACTGTTTTGCTTATAATTCACCTTTCTGAGAGTTTGATATTCAAAATCTTATGTTCAGAGCTCAGTGCTTCACTACTTAAGTCATCTAATTGTATAATTTCTATCCTCTAGATAATTAAAGAATTATAAATTATCTCTTCTACCAAAACATATAATACAGCTGTAGTTAAAGATTTGTGTGAAATAAAGAAAAAAATGTTTTTTCAGCAAAAACATATATGAGTTTCAAAACAAACATATAAAACAAAAGCAAAATTTTTTTGCTACTCAACAAAATACAAATTTCTTATTGGTCATCTACCTTTAGTTTTCATGAAACACACATCATTATATTGCTACAGAGGATCAGTTTAAAAATTTCAGACACACAGGAGTAATTTAGCTAAGGAAAGAAAGAGACTCATATTTCTCAGATGCTCTTCTATCAAAGATTCAAATTATATTTATTGAAAAGACTGTCACATTAGGAAGTTTAACCCATGAGCCATGAATTTTCAGACTTCATGTGATAACAAGCAGTGACAAAGAAAACATAATTCTACAGAAAGACTGCTACTGAACACTAGACATATTTAGTGTTATTCCAGTATTGCCACAAGCAAGTGAAGAACTGTATGAAAACTTAAGTCAAATGGATGAAGGTCAATAAAAAGTTGTATGCATATAATTTTGAGGCATTATAATGTAAAGGGAGGAACAGAAGGATTAAAGGAGTCTAGTTTTGAGAGAGCTTTAAATCTGTAGTTAACATCAGCTACTTTGCATTTTACAAAGCAGACAGCAACATGCCCAGTACTGAGGATTTCCTGTGGCAGAAGATTGCTGTGCTTTGCAAAAATAGAAGCATGAAGTTTTATGACACTGCAGTGAGAGTGGTGGGAAATATGAGTGGCATGTGCTAGTGCAATGAACTTAATGAGGAAAGGAAACACAAGAAGTAAAGTAGGGATAATATTTGCTCTTGTGCCCATTGCCCACTACTGTTTTATTGTCTTTGCAAACATGTTTCATATTTCATTTTTCACTTTTCTTTGGGACCAGAAAAATAATAAAAATTCAAAATTTCTAAGCACTGTTAAGAAATCAGTATTTTGAAGAGTTTTCACACTACACAGTCAACCTTTATGCAGTTACAGCACTTTTTTCCTTTAACTTGAGTGTTTGTAATCTATGAGATTCAAGCCAGGAAATCAGAATTCTCTCTTCTGCAACTGAAAGTCTTAGCCTTTCATGAAAGGTTATGATGATTCATACATCTGAAGGCCAGAAGGGTTCACTCTCTAAATAATTTCACATCAAGCCCCCATCTTCCTTGTCTCCAATTCAAGGCATATAGTGCATTTTTTCCTAAGTCAGTAGAGCTCTTGAAATTAATGGTGCTTCCTTAAATCACACACATAAGGAACCTGCTCATACTATTCACCTGGGTTTTGGCTTTATACCCATATTATACATCTGTGTTTTGGTTTTCGTTTCATCTCCTCTATACATATGTAATCTACTTTTCTCATGATTTTTGTAAAAGCCATTTTCTAGCTGTAAAAATAAGATGAAAATGTTTTCTTGGAGCTTGGATGTTTTTGGGGAAAATATTGGTAAGACTTTTAGAGTGAAGAGTGAATAAATTTGACTCCATTTCTTCCTAGGTTTCAGCAATCTTTCTGCTAGTAAAAAGTTGCAGTGCCTGTGCTGCCTTAATCTTCCATGTACATCTGGACTTCTGTATAAACTTTATATTCTTGAGTAATCCTACTAAAAATTAGTTGATTTGCTCACATATAGAGCTATACAGTAAAAACAGAAATTGCACAATCTAGGCAGAAATTGAAATTCCCTCTCTGAGGATTTGTAGCTCAAGTGACTGTATAAGGTTTCTAAGACAAATCAGTCACAATTAGACAAGCCTGTAAACAACAAAATATCTTTTCAACCTAGGAACATCATAGATCTTCACAGTAAGACAATAAGGAGTAATTTATCGTGAATATTTTTGGGATTATGAATATGAACAGAACAGAGCAGGCTCTCCTCACACCCTCATTCACAGATAACAATCAGCCACATCAACAACCGATAGCATCTAAAAGCAGAAGATTTAAAACTCACCCAGGAATCACTCCTTTCAAAACTCACCATAGAATTACTCTGTGAAACTCACTCTAAAAACTAGCAGAGATCAAAGTAAACAAGTTTTTAAAAAAAAATAAATAAATAAATTAAAAATCAACAGAGTTCATCTAAGATTTTCTTATGTCCTTTATGTAGAATAATTAGGACATAAAGAGGTTTTCCTGATTTAGATGAAAAGTAGAGGGGAGGAAGAAGGTAACAGCAGCAGATTCTACTGACTTGTACTGTCACCTAGTCAAAAGGGGCAATATATGGAGAATTTAGGGAAATACAGAGTGACAACAGCAAATACAATATTAACTCCCTGTGGAATAATATCACATTAAATTTTACTTTTTGACTCAGGGATTTTTTTAATTTTTTTCTTTCTCAACTTCTTATTTTACCCTTATCATACTTTTTTAAGATGAAATATCTTGACAATTTAAAAAACTATATAAGCAAGATATACGTTTAAACAGTACATAACTTTTTTTTGTGACAGATTCTCATGGACTTGCTAGACAGGTTATATTTCTATGCTGCCACCCTTCTCTTTGTCTTAAAGGTTTGTAAATCCTTTATCTAAATCACAACTGAACTGATCACCAGCCTAGTTTCATTTGGTTTTACATTAATTGTGTTTTTCTTTAAAAAATATTACTATATTTATTACTCTGTAATCATGTGAACTGGTCTTAAAAATCTAAAAACATAATGTTCCTGAGGTATCTTGCACAGCATCCTCAGTTTTTCCTCAGATGTTATGCTTACTACTTCAAGAAAAACATCTTGATCCAAGCAGCAACTTTTAATTATTTCACCCAATCATATGTATTTTAATGTTAAGTACTTTGGAAGAAAACAACAAACCTTGTGCCCTCATTCAGTTTTATATTTTCAGTGGTCTTTTTTTAATTATCACTCAGTAAATGTTTACAATGGAAGACAATAATAAACAAAGAACACGGACTGACACATGCAGGACTGTTGCTATAGGAGTACAGGAAATTACGGAGAGTATAATTTGCACCACAGTTGAAAACCAGCACAAAGAAAGATTTTAGGCACTTTTGTAGGGAAAGGAAATGAAGTAGAATTATATTGAAATGGGATCATGGACAAATTAATGCAACAGCGTGTCTCACTATTTTTTTCTTTCCTCTGACTCTGTTGTACTCCCAAGTGATGCCTTTGAGAACACAAACAGCAGTCACAAGGGCTGAATGGGGGAAGGGGAAACTCTCCCTCTCTACTGAGATAAGCATGTCTAGCTCCATTTGCTCCATTTGCTCCATTATACAACATTCCCAGGGGGTGTTTCCTTTTAAGAGCACAAGAAGGGAGAGGGAGCAACAGAATGCCAGGATGGCAGAAAAATACAAAATCATTTTCTGAAATGCTTCATGTCAGTGGGGTCTTCCAAAGACCCCAGGTTGCATTAAAAGCTTTGGAAAAATGAACAATAATATTTCAGGGGGAGTGGGAGACTGACAGAAAAATCACATCTCAGTTCTTGGTTCTGCGTTCTTGAAACTTTGGCACTGATCTTTTATAAAAAGCTGGTTCAAACCTCGCTGGGAAACAAGAACTTGATCCTGTGACAAGTGTCAAAACTTTAGTTCTGCACTGGAAATAAAACTAGACCTTGGGTTTTTGGAGGGTTATCAGACCTTGGTATTCGGGGGATTTTAGTTTTGGGAATGGAAAAAGCAAGAGAGATCTCACCTGTTATCAACCCTCTGTGTCATTTTCTCCCCTCCTCTGTCACTTTCACTCCTTTTCTCCAGAGAATGGCTCATAAACCTAGGATATTTAACTACAAATACAGTAACCCTGGTTTGAGTTCCTGTTCTGCTTGACCAGATTTGACCTAAACCTCACAGCATCAGTAGTCCCAGAAGGACTTGGCTGGACATTTCCTGAGGTCCCACCCTGAACCTGTGACAAACCCCTGACTTTGTTCCACTGAAGTGGATATGACTCTGTAGAATGTTTTCATTTCACTCAGCCAGCATTTCCTCACTGCAGGAAAAAAAAGTATTTATGCAGCTCTATTTGGGCTGCAATGAGTAAGGAAGTGATAATGACTCTCAGTATTTTACAGCTATAAATGAAAGCAGGTTTTATATAAGTTAATTATGGTTTTATATTTTTTAAAATTAATTTACTGAATTACCCAGATCCTGATTTCTTTTTGTCTTTTTTCTTCTTGTTGGCCTTCTCTTTTTTCCCTTTCTTATCAGGCTTTTTGTCCTGTTTCTTCTCATTTTTGCCTTTTCCACTTTTACCCCCTTTCTCATCATCTTCTTCTTCACCATCTTCCTTGGATTTCTGATTTGCCTGGTTCTTCCTGGTTTTTGCAGGGTCCCCATCAGAATCACTGCCCTCATTTCCAGCTCCTCGTCCCCGTCCTCTATGGTTTCTGTGCCTGCGATGCCCAGCTCTCCTTGTCCCATCTTCATCATCATCATCCTCCTCACAACCACGCCTGGTTCTCCCTCTGGCATGTCCCCTTCTGGTTCTTGGTGTTGCTCTCTTTCCCCCTTTATCTGTGATGGAGGACAAAAAAAAAAAAAAACAGAGGGAGACTTTTCCTCCTCTTTTATTCATACAGATAATCAGAAAACATCTGAGTGTGGCCTTAAAGTAATCTACAATACTGACCCGTTCCTTTGACATTTTCTTCATTCTCAGTTGCACTGCCCTCTTCGTTGTCAACATCACTGCCATCTGTGGAATGAAAACAAAGGCCAGTGCATGTGAATTGTGGGTCAGTTATTAAGAATGCACAAGTTTTAATAATTTCTTTGCAATTACTGCACTGTACTCCCTTACACCCTTTCACAAACGCTGTTTTTTGGTCCATGGTAAATAGTTTTCAAGATATAAGATGAAGACAGAAAAATAAGCATTCAAATAAGTAAGGCCCAAAATGATGCCATAAAGAACTCTCTCTCATGGAAGAAATATGGAGGACAGGAGGGCCCTCAAAAAGAAACACCATAGAAATATCCTACAGTTTGGGGAAAAGAACAAGGAAGATTAAAATGTTTTTTAGGCAACTCTGAAACATTTTCTAAAACATATGAAAAGTAATCACTGGCTGAGATTAAAGAAGATTAAAAGAATCATTTTCTGATTGACTGACTGGAGGACATGAAGCTTCTTAGCTGCAGCATAACTGAACAGCACAGTCCCAGAAGAAAGAAGAAACATACTCTCGACTTACTCTCAGTTACAGCAAACAAATCTTTAAGCATAGTGACAAAAGTTGGTCCAGCTCGCTCATACGCTGTACCACAGTCATACAATTCAGGAGATGATAAAAGCATTGGAGACAAGAGAGAGTGAGTGCTTATTCACAGAAGCAAGCAGTATTTCTGCTCAGAACTATCTTTGGTTTTGGGTGGATCTCTTGCTTAAACTTTTCAGTCTCAATAAGTTCAATTAGAAATGTTGTCTCTACTGCCTGTCAATAACCAGGAAAGTATCCAATTCATTTGCCTGGTACACTTTGAAACGGGGATCACGCATATAGAGAGAAGAAAATACTCATCTTTCATGTGCCTTATATCCATCACAATATTTAATCAATATGCTCTCTGCAAATATTGGTATGAACATATCACTTAATGGGTCACTCCTGAAACTGCTAGTGGTATTCACCAGCAATGTTTCTTGAGAAGCAATCCAATTAATACTTAAGAACCCTGGAGCTAATAGGCCTTCTTGAGACATCTTTGAGTTTGCACATGTGGGAAAGCACTTGAGACACATCAGCAAAATATAGAGAAATACGTGGTAGCAGGAGATTAATGAGAAAACTAAGAACTATTACCATGATTAGAAATAGGCAGCTGCAATTCCATTCCTGTATGTTTCATGTATGTTCCACATGTATGTTGTCTAATTTTTCCTCTTACAGACAGGACAGGTGACATGTCATGATCCTTATAGTTGCCTTTTTCAGGCAAGAAGAAATTACAGTTACCTTCCTTCTTTGCTCATCTGTAATACTTTTGAATTTTTCTTTATATTCTGTATTTCTCCACCCATTCCCTAGTTTCCTAGTTCCTTTTATAAATTTGATTAAGCCACTAGTGATTCATCAAAAATCTATACACAGATTATCTAGAGACTTCTGTAACTATCAAGCACAACTTCTTAGCTTACCAAGTATCAAACGAGAGCAGAAAAACATGTAAGGCTGCAAACAAGAAGGAATCTTGTCTTGTTTCAGTGTGTGCAATAATGGGCAAAGGCTTATGATTCAGAATTTGACAGGCATTTCAAAACTGGGATATATCTAGGGAGTCTAACTTCCATTCACAAAACATTTAATTGCAATTATATTTTCTATTATTTCCACAGCAACTGCACAATAAGTTTTTAAGACTACACAAAAATATTATCATTCAATATCATCAGTGGAATGTGAAAATAAGTGCTCCTTTGTTCTATTTGGACATATGCCTTCTGCTGCTGACAGTAACAGGATCTCCATTTGACAAAGATCATTACGTTGCTATTGAAAGCTTGCAAAGATGAAGACAGACACTTCTAAAGAGATACTTTGCATGCAACAATAGGGCATAGTCTTTTATTGCAACTAATGCTTTTGCTGATCTCCTCCAGTCAAACAGAAATTCCCAGGAAAACATTTTAATGGTTCCAGATTGGCATCACTACAGATTCTGATGAGCCCATACAACAAGCAAACAAGTGGAGGATTATCATCTATACCGAAAGACACATTAGCAGCGAAAGTGTATCATGCTCGAGTTGACATCATATTGACATAATAGTGAAAGTGACAATGGACTACGCAACACAGAGGCTTAAGCAGGGCAGAAGCTAGCCACTGGCATTTAATTCTAATAGCATAATGTAAGAAATGCACTAGTCTGAATTCAACATTTCAGGAAAATAGATTAATAGATTTCAGGCTGCTTGAGGAAAGTACTGGGAATACTACTAGATGTGAGTGTATCTGATAGTGACTCCTGTGTGTTTATGTCCTTTTTTCATCTAAATGCTCAGGCACATGAGTGATAAAGAAGTTTTTAAACAAATTAAGAAAAAGCATAAAACTGAACAGAAACATATATTGCCACAAAACAAGCCTAGAAAACATGACCAGTGATTACATGGAATTGTGCAGCTAGAAGAGTAGTGGGTACTACAGACATATCCAACAATCACAAGTGCACCTTCAAAAGTTGTTTCTGCAAAATTTTGAAATTATATCTCCAAATTGAACTTCAGAACATTCCTCCCTCCACAGTCCCATGCTCATATAGAGATGAAACATATTGATATGGAGAATGCTTGTAGTTCTCATTCTGGTGTATTCACAGAATAAGATATCTCTCCCAGGTCCTAGGGTATGATGCAGAAAGTGGTGTACTAGAATTCATTTTTAAAAGAAGCTGAAAGCCAAGGAGGACTCTTCAATCCTCCAGTTTCTTTGCACTCTATATCATGAGCTGTGTCACTAGCATAAAAGCTTAACCTCGGGATAGAACTAAAAGTTACTCATTTGTGTCAGCTGTGATAGCAGTTGGTGCTGCTTAGAAGGAACAAAATCACTGAGGACAGGTGATGAAGGAGCTTTACCACCCCTGAAGTCTGCCCTGAACAGCATATATGCATGCATTCATACATAACCACACCACACTGCACTCACATTACAGCTCTCTCTAGAGACTTGTAATTCAGACAAGCTGTATTAATAACTGTCTTCTTGTGTTTGGGGGTTTTGCACATATCATTAAAAGAACAGTGTTGCTAGTTGGTTGGGTATTTGAGCAATAATAGAGATAAGTAATCATTACTGTGCTTAACATTATTAAAAAGCTATATCAGGTCACTAACTCTGTAATACTTTTCGAAGAGGAAAGTTAAGAGGCTAGGCAGCTCATAACTCAGCACTCCAGGTGCCATGTCTTACTGAATTATTGGAAAAGCATTTCAACAATACACAAATTACATTTCATGGTGACACTAAATCTAAACACAGTTTAGCACTAAATTTAAATGTTCTTCTATAAACCACAACATGGAGAAAGAGTAGAGTGCATTCCTCAAGCACTGTATTGTCATCCTATGGAAAAAAAAAAAAAAAAAAAAAAAAAAAAAACTAGTCTTTGATGCAGGAACAAAATCATCACTGTGTGTAATCCTTTCAGGTCAATATACTTGTCTTCTGCTTTTTTAAACAGATCTTCATGTGATCCTACTTATGAAAAGTTCAGTGAATCCTCCACTAAAATCAATTAAGTCTCACTAAAGCACTGTCTAGAATTACTCATTGTTCCAGAAATGGTTGATAGGACCTCATTTCTTCATGGTATTAATATTCATAGGGCTAATATCAGGTTATTAGACTTTGAGTCAGTTAACTTGAGTTTATGTGACCCAGAGCAAACTATTGCTCAGCTGTTACATCTTCTAGGATACAGCATCCTGCCCTAATGATACATATATCATTAGGTATATTTGGAGCTATAGTCCATAACTCCTTATGCTCAAGGAAATCCAATCACTTTCTGATTTTTTTTTTCCAGAGTAGTTTAAGGGAAACTTTCTCATCTTTCTAGACTAAGGGCAGGGAAAGTGTAATCTGAGCAAGCTATCATTTTACCTGAAGTCTTCTTTATGTTTTAGACTATAGGCACAAATGAGCCAACAAGACTAAAGGAGGGTGTCCTGAATATGGGCTCAGGCATAGTTGCAAGTCAGAGACTGCAACGAAGAAATAGCATCAGACAGCTCAGGAGAGAGCTCAAGCTGTTGACATGTTGGTTGGTAAAGAAATTAAAAACAGAAAAAAAAATATAAAACCATCAGAGTCTTTTTAACACGAGGTGGTCATTTATCAGATTGTTGGAACTGTTGTAACCTTACCTTATTTTCCCAACTTGTTTTACACAACTTCTCAGACGGTACTGCTCAGATTTCATGTTTTGGATTTTTTTTTTAACTTGTTTTATATTGACATAGTTTCCTTGATTTTTCACTATGAAAGGGATAATGAATCTTGGAACTACCCGGTAAAATATGGCCCACTGTTGTAATATTACTGCTCACATTACTATTATGTAAAACTGACTGCTGTTAAGCAATTCTGTGTGTTGGTGCCATAAAAAAAAATTCAGTGGTATACAAAGAAATCTATAATTCAAAAAATGCTATCAGATCTTTTGTGTATGTTACAATATAAAATTCTACTTTATTAATTAATTGTCAAGCCATTTAAATGGATCACATACAGATAAAGCCTCTCAAGCAATTATTGTGTCTTCCTCTGGACTGGATCATGTGGACTTATTTCAGTATCAGAAATACATCAGCTTAAAGAGCTAATAAACTACATCCCTGATGTGTAGAAATGTCAGCAATGCAAGATCACATTAAACAAAAAATACATGTGAAGTGTCAGGGGTAGTAAAAAAGAATAGGAAGTGTTATATAATATTCTATATACTTACCTACCTTTCCATTATATTCTTTCTGATCATGTAAATATGGGAGTGTCTCACAACACTTCTGTGAGGATAAATATCACTAGAAGTAACAGCTGTGAAACACACTAGAAATTATATATCAAGATCTCACAGAAAGTCTAAAGCAAGAGTGAATTGGTACAGACTACAACATCCAAGATTTGAGACCTTAACATGATAGACTCCATCCCTGAAGGAGAAAGATTGTTTAGTGATAAACCCCTCAGTATTTCACCCCCATCAGGAAAGCATGGATAAAAGTTTCCAGGCCACTGTGTCTTACACGATCTCTGTGGATACAGACCACATTTCTCTACCTATGCCAAAGACCTAACCATGTAGTCCTACACAGTACTAGAGACCTGAAAAACTTGCAGGACCCATCGGTTACTGCAGTAAAACAAGAAGCCACATTTGCATTGTGTCTTCATCACACAGTTGGCTTGATAGTGAGCAATTTTTAATTTTCCTTGCAGTCTTTACTGCAAGTATTAGGATCAGAATATTAAGAATCCAGTGCATTCTTGGAAGTGTGAGGCTGAAGTAAATTATACCAATCTGACCTTTTCAGATTCTGAAGTGTGATTTACTTAGCTTACTGTCATTCATTCATAGTACTGTTAACATGGGTAGAACACATGTTAATATGGAGAAAACAGTTTAAGTTCAAGTTACAAATGCAACTTTCTTACTGAATCTGAAGTCTGCTGTATTTTCAACCACCTCGTGAGAAGACAGCTCTTTTAAGGTTGATACCTACAGCTGACCAGCTCACCACATATTCTGTTTATTATGTTTAGAGGATAATGGGCGCTTTCCATCTGATCACTTAAACATCCACGTTGAAGATTTGTACCCTAAGTCTTCTTTTCCTGTATGAGAAGCCTAGAACAATGAATTCATATTGATGAACTTAGCCTAATGAACCACACCTCTTCTACTATCACAGATTTTGCAGAAGACATCCTATGAAACAAGAAGAATGGCCAAATCAGGGCTTCACAAGAGTTAAAGATATCAAAAGGCAAAAATGTATGGCCCTAACCTGCATTTCTGAACTGTTGGGGTGGTCTATTCTTTGCAAGATTATTTCTCAGGACGTCAGCAATAATGAATTCTAATGTAAAGAAATTGCAGCTAGATTAGTGCCTGAGCTCTGCGCTGACTAACTCCAGCCCTTGGAATATTTTTAAGTCAAAAGTAAACTGAGAAACATATCCTGAAACTGTCTCATAGTTACTCATAGTGGATTTTCAAGATTCCATGTTTTCAAGTTTTCTTAAATCAAGACAGTTTGAAATTACTCACACAATCTCATCTCCAAATATTCTTATAACTGTCATTAAGGCAAATAGATTTTATTATAAATTATGGACAGGATAAATTTTAATGCAAAATGTGTCAGAGTTTATGATTCTGCAACCTAAAATTCTCAACCTTCTCCAGTTAAAAGATGTGTGGGTTTTGTTCACTGTGGGAATGCTGACCTCTGTTCTTTGAATTAATTATAAAGTCAGTGAATCAGAAGATAAGTGAATTCAGTTAGATATCTGCAAGTAGAAGGCATATGTTTACGGTAAACTTAGAACCTTGATATTCTAAGAATTTGTTCATTAGTAAAGCTTGTAAAAATGTGTATGTTCTATAGGCATGTTCATTTTGTTTCTTATTCAGATAAAAAATCTGCTCAAGCTGGCTAAGTATTGTCCTTATGTTACATTAAACTCTGTGGTTCTCTCATGTTGAACTCCATTAACATATACTGCTTTAAAATTAAATTGGTCAGTAAAGGGACTTACGAAAAAACTGGAGGGAAAAAAAACAATGAAGGTGCTCAGCCAATAAAAGGAAAGAAAATAGGATGGAGTCTTAAAAAAAGAACTACTTGTTATATTCTGCCGAAATGGTAAGCTGTCACTTCTGATATTTTTCAATGGAAGCAGAAACTATTTTATTATTATTGCAAGTTAAAAGTGTAAATTAAAAAATATAGAAAGCAATATTTAGTAACATCAGCCCTGGTATTTAGCAAGAACTAAATAATTCATTCAGAAACCACCCTAGAATAAGATCCCTGCCAATTTTATTCTATGCAGAAGATAAGAAATCTCATGCCTGTTCCATACAAAAAAGATCCATATTTTGGAAAAAGTTTTATTGCTCTTGAGAACTGAAAGCACTTCCCCTATCAAAGAGTTGCGCTGCACTTTACCAGAACAAGCCATTAGGCATTATCATCCTACAAAAACATTTCTTCCATCCAGAACAGTGCAGTACCAGTATCCAAGTACTGTTAATATGAAGAATGTTTGACATTTCATACCAAATACTGAAAGCAATAAGAAAAGGAGGCAATGCCCTTATGCAGCTTACAGTAGCCACAAAATGTTTTCTTAATCTTCCCTATAAACCATATATAAACATAAGACAAGTAACAGAGATGCAGTTGCATTCTTTTGATTTACTAACCAGTGTAAAGCCACACTGCCATGCTACAACTAGTCAACTTACACAGCTACTTTCAAAAGCCAAGTAAATTACATTTCTGAACAAAAAAACAATGAATTGTGACAAGGGAGATTTTGCATTAGAAAGAACAAGAAGAAAACAACAAGAAGAACACAAAACTTGAACACTGTTGAGCTACACGCAGAAAATGAATATGTGCTTAAGATGCATAATTGTAATTGTAATTACCATTTCTTTCAATGGCGGTTGGCTTTTCATGTTTAGGCGTCATGACTATTTCACAGGGCTGCTCCAGCTGCTACCTATATAAGAGATTGTCCGAACGTTGTGTGGTTCAAGACAAAGCATACCACATCAACATCGTCCTGTCTGTCACTGAACGGATGGCGCTGGTGAAGTTTCACTGACTGAAATATAAGAAGATACTAATTTCCTAAGTGATTAATCTTTCATGAATGTTTAGTTTACTATTTAGGGTTGGCATGCTAGGGTCAAAAGAATGGAGGAAATTGTTCATCTTCTTTATTATTATTATTACTGAAAAAAAAGAAAAACTCTCCTGAAATGTACTAACACTAGTAACTAACACTAATGTTTAATTGCTTCAGTGCCTTACTGAGCATGAATGTTGTGCATTGTCCACACAGGCATACTCTGATGCTGTATTTTCTCATGAAAGACAGTTTTTACCTTAGATGTATTTAAATTGCATAGTTTTAACAGCTTGACTCTGATTTTAAATATCTTAGCAAAAGGAGATGGATGCTGATGGTGTATATTTGCATCACCTTGCAGTTCTGTTAAGACTCCTTACTTCTGCCTTTATGCAAATATTACATCCTAACTTTACCAGTTTTACCCTGATTCCCCTTATATCTACAACACCAGACAAGCTTGATGGTGAAACAAAGCAAAAATTTAATTAACAAGACAGGTGAGGCTTGGAAGTAAAATATTTGAAACAACTTGTTACAAATAAAACACAGTACAAATAGCATAAAATATAATTCTTGATCTGTATTTAACTAGATAATTCCTTCATAGCTTCCTCAGTATTCCTTACCTGGAATTCTTTCAGTGTGACCCAGATTGATAAAAAGGGGTAAGCATCTGCAGAATATGTTACATTCTCAACACTCCTGAGTGGTTTCTGGATCCTCTCACATGACTATAAAAACCATTTGTTTTGCTTTGGAGCTGTCATTCAGATGTCTGCAGGAAGATTATCTGGAAGTTTACCCAGTGATGCTGGCTACCTTACCTTTTCATTTTCAAATTTTAGCATCTGGGGGGTTTTTGGAAATGCAGAAAATGTTTGTGGGTGTTGTTTGGACTGACTTGAAATTCAGTTTGCTGTCAAAACTCGTCCAGGTGTTTAGTCCTATTTCTGTCAGAACATTAACATCCTATATTTCAAATATTCCCAAAGAGATTAAGTTTACACATACAATTATAAGAGTCCCTGTGCCTTTGACTATAAAACATGTTTTCTGAACTATTATTTCCTTTACTGCATTCTCTTATTAGTCATTATATAATATCCTCATTCCTCTGCATTTATATACTTGAGAAAGACTTCTAATGGGAAAGAAAAAAAAAAGGAAAAAAAAAAAAAAAAGCAGGAGAACATTCAAATAATCTCTGAAAATCCATAGATAGACCATGTATAGTAAAACATGAGTTTAAGAACTCAGAAAAAATTATAATCATATTCTATAAAATTCAGTTGGTATACTTCTGTACTTCTTTAATAATGGAAAGAAGAATACCTTGGGAGGAATGATGAGTATGGTATGGTATGCAAGTTAATGATTCTGCAAGTACTCACAGAAAGATGCAGGGAAAGATTTGTAACGAGATGTTTCACAGTTGCATTCAAATCAGGACCATACCTTTTATGGAACTGTGTAAATATTAATCCAAAATTTAAGTTAATACCTCACTTTCGTTTATTAGCCATATTTGACATGTTTGACTGGATATATGAGAAGGAAAGGGACATACATTGAGAGCTGATTTATTAATCTTACCAACAAAAATTACATTTGTCACAAACTGTTGGTAAACAAGAAACTTTGTAAAGAGAATGTCTGTAACAACTCCAGTGGGATGCCCTGTGGGGGAGAAGTGGAGAGAGCTCTGTGGAGGTGGGGCGGTGGGGCATTTCTCTCCCCCTCCCTCCTGTTTTTGCCCAGAGACAGAACTTTAACTGTGCAGATACAAGTCAGATAAAGTGAGAAACTTCTGGAACAACCTACTGCACGTGCATAAGAAAGGCTACATCAAGGCAACACCCCACATGTGTCTTTGTCCAGCCACCACCATGGTCTATGGATCTTGGTCTTGGTCTATGGACCAAGCTGGGTATTCTGGTAAAACGCAGGATCCAAGGGTGGTGACATATCCTTTTCCTATCCTCTCCCTCTCTCATTTCTCTTTCTGCTCTCTCTTTCTTATATATATATATATTCATGTGTATAAGTTTTGTAGGAGTTGAATTTCAATAAGTTGATCATTGATGGGTTATTAGGAGAATACTCTCACAGCAAAGTGCCTTTATTCATTCCCAAACTGCTATGAGTCGATTGTTGCCAGATTGTCTCCATTCATTCACTAGAGTGGTCAGTTAATAAAGTCACCAGCACAATTGTTCCTCAGAGTCACTGTGGTGACTTGGCCTGCCCTGCAGCTCTGCTGAGCATAGATCGGCTCTTCCACCAGTACGCAGGCTCTCGGGGAATTTAAAAGATTCATCCCCCTCATAACCCATCACGTGAGATGAGACATTACATAAATATCAAAGATGCAAAGGCGGTATTCAAAAATACAGAATCTGAGTGTGATCTCTGGGTGAACATTTGCTACACTACAGGTGAATTGCACACTCCCTTTTATTTGTTTCTCAGGGTCTCCTGACTCAGAAGTGATCAGATTTAGTTAAATACTTTTACCACAGTGCAACTTTTTAGTGTAGACAAGGCAGACCCAGTCTGGTTTGTGGTTACCTTTTGTGGCTATAGGCGTTAACTCTCTCCAAGAGTTTACTACTCACTGCCCTCGTTGGTGTACCACTTAAACTGTTCATGGGGCTGCCCTGTAAACTGGGTTACTAATCAAATCAAATAATCATTTTCTTAAGTCAGCTTAGTGTAGTGATCCCATCTACAGCACAGTCCCACAAAAAATTGTATTAGCACAGAAAGGGGAGTCAAATTGTGACATGATGTAGGAAAGGGCAGACAGGATCAGAAAGCAGATAGAGGGTGCAAACCTCTGAGGACAGACTTGCCACTGGAGTTAACATAGCACAGGGCTACATTCTATGTTTCTGTTTACCCTGGGAGACCAAATACTGAGCAGAGAATAAGGACAAACTACCAATTTAACCTCATAGCACGCTACTGCTTCTCTAGCACAAATATAAATTACTTCATAGAGAGCACGGACAGTTTTCATTTACACAAGGTTCTCTTTACATCACACAAGTCTTGCAAAGAAAAGGCCTTTAATTTAATTTAATTTAGCTCTATTTAATAGCAATAAAATCAGAACAACACAGAGTAGTTTTAATATATAATAAACTACAAAAATGGCCCCAAGGCAGTCAGTTTCAGAGAACTGGACTCAGTTCTACGTGAGCTTGTTAAACACTGCAAAAGCTTCTGTTGTTAGCAAACATGGCACATTTTTGTTTCTTTCTTCAAATCTGTACCTCCCTGTCAGAGAAACTTACTATTTATTCACAGTGCTGAAGCATGATGGCACATAAAAGATAAGCATGGAAATACACTATTATCCCTTTACCACAGCTGATATTCATGGGAAAACCTGTAATGAAGGAGAAATAGAAAGTATTGGTCTGCATACCCTTCCTCATACTGTTAAATTGGTAACTCATTTGATAAACATCTGCCAACAAGATAAATCTATCCAAAGGAAATAAAGATGACATCAAAGAATGATAACATGACTATGTTTGTTACAAACCTTAGTGCCTCAGTGAATTTACAAGCATCAGTTTTGCTTGTAGACAACACTTGTTACAGTGCCACAACATATTCACAAAAAAATAGCCACTGTAATTTCTTTCCTGCCACTTCTGCACATCAGCTGTGAACCCTTTCTACCACAAATGAATGCCCTGAATGTTTCCCTGTTTCGAGGTGCATTTTCCATCAGTTTCTAAACATACTGCAAAACTTAAAACAATAAATTATTTTCTGCCAGAAAGGTGATACTTTTCAGGATGGGATTGTAAAATGCCATTTTGTTTTGAGGCACAGAAAAGATATATTCTGCCCTGTTGAAGGACACGTTAAAAACAGTCAGTTCTGGAAGTAGATATGAAAACAAGCTGAAGTCATGACACTCTAGCTATGCCAGTAAAAATGCCTTTTTACTACTTAGGTCAATCTTTCCCTAATGTGCTGCATTCAAATGAGTCAGATGACCCTGGAGTGTGTTAAATGGTAAGTCTGTGCCTATCATCCTCATTATCCCACATCTTTTCATAGCTGAGTGGATGATTAGGCCAGTCATGACTGGGAGTGGCAGGAGACACACCAGGAGGTGGCCAAGGTGGGACAGGGGTCAAAACCTCCCTGAGGGGCACCATCCCACAGCAGTGCAAGCAGAGCAGGGTGGGGACACTGGTACTGGGAGGACACTGGTGAGGGTGGGAAGGCATAGACAGATAACAAATCAAATTGATTAATTTCATACAAGAAAATCTCAAAAGCTGGCTTGCATCCTTTTCGAATATTAACTCCCAGGTCAACATGTACAGCTCTTGAACACTGATTAGGGAATGTCATGTAACAATAACATGAGTTATCTTGTTCTGATGTTGCACTGGTATTCACAGAGAAAATAGCAACAGCTCAAATCTACTTGGAGAAAAAAACTTATTTGGGTAGAAGTCTCTTAGCAGCTCATGAAAAGAAATTCTAGCAGCTAAGTTGTAACCACATGAAATTCCAACAGACTTCTGCAATTACTGTTCATGAAGACATCTGTAGCTTTTCTGACATTTCTGAAATACTGCAGTTCAAGTTTCTCTAAAAAAAAATGGAAGTTAAGCTAAAAGTACAGTGGGATGCATTTTTCATTATATTTAGGTGCTTTACACTCCCCTGGTATACAGGATCACGAAGTTCAGAGGTAAAATATCAGAATTCTCATAAAGAAGACATTTTAAAAATTTTTCTAGACAATTAACATGGATCACAAGAAACTAGGGTGATATATATGATTTAGAGGAATTTACCCAAATTGCTCTTGATCACTGAATCTATCCTCCATCATTAAACAGAATGTTTTATTAAAAGTTCAAAACTGGCTTTAAATTCCTAAACATTCAT